AAAATTCATCGGCATCTTGAGTGCTTGGAAACACACCTGCCTTTGAGAGTACGGACACAAATAGTCAGACCTCGCCAGTGTCTGGCTTTGGCAAAGACTGGCCCGACTTCCAAGACAAGACGCCTCATTCAAGCACTCATCTCTCTCTCTCTCACACACACACACACACACACACACACACACACACACACACACGTATGCTCTCCCACTTGCCACGGCCACCCCAGAGGGGGAAGGGGCACAGGGAAGCCCTCTGCCCCCTCTGCCCCCCTAGCCTAGAGGGCAGGGCGAGGGCTAGTGATTCAGGCCTGGCTGGGCGCTCTGACCGGAGGCTTCCTCCCAACTCCTCCTTCCTTCGTGGGGCTACACTGTCCCTGCCTTTGTTCGTTCAATTCTGGAGCTCCCTGACTCAGCCTAGTTCCCAAAGAATTTCCCAGCAGGGGACAAAGCCCTTGTCAGTTGGGTGATGGGGTGGGGGTGAGGGAATTACTGGGAGAAAGCTGTAGAGCCAGAGTTCCAGTCCGTTCCCCAGTCCTAGCCTTTAGGGTCCCGCAGCACTGCTGGTTCAGAGACCCAATTTGCCCTGATCTCCAAGGCCTGGCTATGGGTGGAAACGGGTTAACTAGAACCTTCCACCCAGGTGGGCCAAGTCTGACACCTGGTGGTCAATGTGAGAAACAGCCAGAAGGGCCCCTTTTCGAGTCCCCCCAGAATTTCTCCAGAGCCAAGAAGGCCCAGGTGGGAGGAAGTGTGGAGGGTGGTGGAACAGTGCAGGAGAGACCCCCTTCCGTCCCCCAGGCTCCTGCCCCTTAAGCTCACGAGGCCAGAGAACCTGGACCAGGGAGAGGAGGGCCTTGGGGGTGGGGTTGTAGTGAGCCCAAGGAGGAAAGAATTCTGGCCCACGGGGGGGGGAATGGGGCCCAGGGCGTGTGAGTATGTTGGGGGCTGGGGGTGTCAGTCTGGCTGCCCGGGATCTCGTGAGCTGGCCCGACTTCCAGCTCAGGGTGGGTGGCAGGGCCCCAGGGAGTGAGGAGGAGGGTGCCGGGAGAGCGAAGGAGAGCTGGAAACGCCCCACAGCCCACTGGGCCCCAGGCAGCATTTCCCCTCCCTCCACCTGCCCTCCCTGGCTCTCCCCACAAGCCCCACCATGAGCCGGGGGAAGGGCAGGGGCTCTTGGGCGCCTGCGCGGTGCCAGGCCCCTGATCCTGCCACATTGTCTGAGCTAAGCCAGGCCTAATCCCCCTTTCCTTGGGAGCAGTCAGTGGTGGGCCTCAGCTCTCAGGAAGGTGCTGGGCTGCCTGTTCCGGGTCTCTTCTCTCCTGGGCTCCCCAGGACTTTGGCCTTTGGCCCAAGGCAAGGGCCTGAGTGTTCCCGGGCCAGGTGTAAAGGTCACTCCTACTAGGCCCGTCACCGACCTCTGGGTGTCAGGCCCGATCCAAGAAACCTCTGCCTGGGTCTTAGGACATTCCCCCAAGGAAAGAGGACTTGGCCCCAGCCTGACCCCTGGCCTGGCCTTGCAGCCTGAAGCCTGAACTGTGACAGACGCCAGGAGAGCAGTTTTGGGGATATGCTTAGGAGGCTGCCTGAGTAGGGGAAAGAGTTCTAGGCAAGAAGCTGATAAAAGGCAGACAGGGCTGGAAAGCAAAAATGGGAAAGATCCAGGGGTGGGCAGGCCAATTCCTTCATTCTGTTAGAAATTGTGGCCTCTCATCAGGATTCAGATGCTGAGCCAGGGAGGGATGCCAGCTAGACAGGGGTGGTTCCAAAGTCCCTGGGTACCAACGTTTCTCTTGGGCTCAACCCCACGGCTCTCTGACTTGGAGGGGAGGGCAGGGCTGCCGGTGGAGAGCTCTCTCAACTCCAGGTCAGAAAGCCAGTTCTAGGGTACCCACACTTGCGCTGACCACTCTGATTCTCTTTCTTGGGCCTGGGGAGCTGGGTGGGAGAGGCTGGCAGGGCCTGAACCAGGCAGAGCAGGGGGAAGCTGGCGGGACGGCCCAGATAGCATCCACAGGGCAGGTCAGGGTGCCAGAGGCTGCCAAAGGAGAGAAGGGAATAGGACCAGGCGGCAGTGCGAGCTGCTGTGGCTGCCCAGCGGCACACCCCATTTCACGCTCCCTGGGCGGTGGCAGGGCCCCACGGCTATCAGCTTTCAGGGGTGGGAGGGACCAGGAATGAGGAGGGGTCTGCCCCACCCATGGCTCCCTACTCCCTCGGGGCTTGGTGGACTCAGGAGGTGGGTGCCACATACCGCTGGGAACAGCCCAAGAGCCCCTTATGAGACCGTCGGGGAGGGGGCAGTCAATCCCCCAGAGTCTGGGCACCATTTCCCCTTCCAGTGTTCAGTGCCCAACTAGACTCAACACCTACGCCCTTCCCAGCCCTGGTGGGGAGGGCCTCTCTTCTTCCATCCCCCACTCGGCAGGGCCCCTGTCTCCCTGAATGTGGGCCCCACTGCGTCCAGAAGGCAGATGGGAGGATTAGACCAGGCCCAGCCCCAACAATGCAGCAGGGACGGGCCCTCCGGCTCTGTGCACTGCACCCTCAATCTCCCTCCTCGAGGAAGCCGGTGGAACTGCCAGGCAGGAGCGGCCCCTGAAGACGAGGCCTTCCCCTCCTCCACCACTTTGGTGGTCTACTCTCCAGAACCCTCTCCTCCCTTGTCCCCTCCTCCTGACACAGAGCACGCAGCACCCAGAGCAGTGGGAGAGGAGGCAGGCAGGGGGTCAGCCTTGGCGTCTCTGCCCCGCCCTCCGGGTACCCCTGGAAGGAAGAACCGGATGGGCTCTCTAGAGGGTGATTAGAGCTGGGCTGGTCCCTGTTCTGGTTCCCAGACTCCCACTGGCCAGCACTTTTGCCTGCTGCCAGGAAGTTGGTGAGGGGGAGGCGGCAGTAGGGGTGAGTCAGCAATGACAGGAGCCCAAGGGACAAAGGTCATGGGTGGAGAATTGAGAGACACTGTTTACAACAGCCCACCTCCTCCGGGAGGCCTTCCGATGCTACTTATCCCCGTGGTCTCTGACCCACCTTGACCCTCTCTTCTGTAAGGAATTGTAGACTCAGCCGGGCTCGGTGGCTCAGCCTGTAGTCCCGCGCCTTTGGGAGGCTGAGGTGAGTGGACTGCCTGAGCCCACGGGTTCGAGACC